CATCGATTGGGAAGAAGGCTGAAAGCAAAATGGATCAACCATTGATCATAGCTTGTGAATTGTCATGTGGACTATACGATTGCCAATACACACGTTAAGGTTTTTGTAAGAGCTCGGGAAGATGGAAATTAGTGACTTTGGTTCTCTTGCTGATCTCTTGTTTCTTCTTCTTCTCCTTCGGTTTATTTGATATGCCATGCATCTGTGCAGCAGCTTCCCTCTCCGCAGTGTTGGTCGCCGGCATCAAGCCGATTTTCAGCAGCTCTTTCTCCACGTTTAGCATGTTGCTCGGGATATCTATGTCCCGGAATAGAGCTTTAAACTCTTCATCGACCTTAATCTCATTCTTGAAATCATTTGGGTACGCAATGTACTCTTTTGAATTTGATGATAGCAACCAAATGTCTTCTGAAGATTTCAGAGCCTACAAAAAATACAATAGAATCTTGAAATCTAGGATTGTAAAACATGACTACAACATCTTTTTGACACCATTAAAGATAGAAGCCAATAGACTAGTCCTTGAATTTTCTCAGTCAAACTCAACATCGAAATAAAACGATACTTCTCACATTTAGCCAAACGCGGATACTAATACTAATGGTAATTTTGATGGGCATTAAGAGCACAACAATGACAGTCCATACCTGCAAATCCTCTAGGACATTAAGGTAGGCGTCTTTGAGATCATTCACGATAATCCCATCAGGGTATTTATTTACCAACGAAAGAAGCTGGCTCTTGTCTTTGACATCGTGTGTAGCCTGTGACGGAAATTGTTAACAGGTGAAACCTTTTTCAATGAGAAACTAATTCACATTGAATGAAAATGTGTTAGTTACCTTGTAAGAGAACCTTGTTCCATCAAAATGCGCTTTCGGATTGTTCCTCATACTATCAAAAACAGCCTTATTGGCATTCATATCAACATAACACGCTTCGTTTATTTGTTCTACCGTAAAGGCTTGCCTTGTCTACAAGACAAATCAACTTCATTATATATATAGCTCTTATCAAACAAGAAAAAGAGGGGACACAATTACCTTAAACAAAAGGTCAATGACAAGCTTGATTTGAGCACCAACAGGAGAATTTCTTATGTTGTTAATGTGTTGAAGTCGCTTGGTATCGTCTGAAAACTTGACAGGAGCAGGCCTCTGACTGATTGTTTCAGGCACGGATGGCCTCGAAGAAGCAATGCTCGATTGGCATTTCTCTTGCTGTTTCATGTTTAGAGCCATCTAAAGTGTACAGAGGAAAACATAATCCTAACCATCAATAATCTGAATTTTGGTAATTTGATGAAGTCATGAACAAAACTTCAGAAACTATAATGAATTTTCATCTGAAATCAAGACCATATATATATATACCTATAAGCAGATTCAGTTGAATAACAAAACCAAGAAGC